CCGCGCCCCCCCAACCCCTCTGCAGGAAAAAAATAACCTTATTTTCATGGAGCTTCTCAAACAGGTATTAATTCGTCTGTCCCGAGGCATTAAAAAAAAAAATCTTTCTCATCATTTCATTTTTATAATTACCATGATACATATTGCAGGGTTGTTGGTTTTTTTTTAATATGTAAATTACTGTATTCTTTTGAAACCATATACCTCACTTTAGTAGAAATGTCAGTGGGCCATTTAAACTTTTATTTTATCTGGTTTGATGCCTTAAATGTTGAAAAGGAATCTGAGCTTGCACCCAGTGATTTAGCCCTCAGTGTTTTTTAACTGAAGGACTGGCAAACGTTCTAAAATTTCAAGTGGATGAGGGTTAAAAGATTTTTTTTTTCAGGAGCAACTAGAGCATTTTCTTGTCTAAATTAGACAATCATATGTTATATGAGTGTCCTATTAGTAGGAATCGTTAAAACAGATGAGTTGGTATCATTATAGAAACATTATCATAAATCATCATTCCTACAGTGTCATTTCTGTATCAGAAGCAGTGGGCCCTCTGTTGAACAGATCTCTTAAGCATTGCTTAAATCCGTTTTTGCTCACAAAGAGTTTTACTGATGACTGCAGTGACACCACAACTGTGTGTATCATTGGCAGTCATAGGGTATTTATGTCTTTGCCATATGTAAAATCTGTACATTTACGTTGGAAGGCTGCGTTTGCATAGCCATGATGTGATTTCTAAGACAAAAATCTTACGCTGCTATAGAACAATGCTCCCTCGTGATGTTTCATAGCATTGATTCTCTCTCAGAGCTTTTTTTGCACTTAAATTATCCCCAACAACTATTTCTGCAGAGATTGTAAGCTTCAGTATAAAGCATCTCTTCTGGTTTGGTTGTTGGGGGTTTTTTTCCTAATCTAAAATTGTATCTTTTGCATTTTTTTGCTCTGATCATGATTTTCCCTCAATGGTTCCCAAAACAAACAGCTGGCTGAACTAGAATTGCCCTTATTTGTTCAACGGGCTTTGAACAGCAGCTCTCAAAAATGTGGGTAGAAAAAGGAAATACCAAACGTTCATTTCATTTTCAATCCTCCCAATTTTAAGGATTCGATTCCATCGCTTAAAATTTTAGGTGTGGATAAAACAGCTTGTTCTGTTCATGCAATCCATAAATTTTTCAGGCCAGGAAAGACCATTAGGACCAACTGACCCAGCACAGAAAAGATCAATGACCCAGTAGTATCTGCATCAAGTCATAAACTGCATCAAATCATAAATTTTAGAAAAATAGCCTGCTATATCTGGACCTTTGTAAACCCACTGAAGCTACTTATTGGCTTTAGCTGATCTACTTGCCTGAGTGCATCATTTTCAACTATCTTGAAACAATATTGGGGAATGCTTCAAAATCATTATCTGACTCTAAAACCTGTGCTAGGCAGGTGCAGGATTATTATGGCTGTGATTGGAGATAAGCGTCCTCAGAGAATCAGTAAGGCTAAACCAGACAATTCCACAGGCCCTCGGCTCTGTTGACATAATGGAAACACTTTGTCCATTGTCTGTGAAACATTTGTTTTTTCAGATATGTTCTGGACACAAGCATCTTTCCAGCTGCCATAATAACCTCCTGTCCTGTGTTTTCATGTCTTTTGATTGGATCATCTGGCACGTTTCCATGGGCAGAAGTAGGAGGAAATGTATCTTTTCCTCAGTGGGTTTATATGATACTTTCTCAGAAACTTGCTTCTGACCTTTTGTTAGAGTTGGTATGCACAGATTGTCCCCTGGCTGGGTGAGACTGGTCCAGCAAAGGTTTCAGGTGAGAACATTATTCTGGCACAGCCTGTGGGACTGGTGGTTTTGAAAGACAACTCTTGAACAGTTAATCCACTAGAAATCAGTGTCTGCCTTGGGCAGAAATTGCTGCCCTGACCCCGTGCCAGGGAATGGTCTCAGAGCTGAGGATGCCTGCTCTCTCACTGTGACAGCCCTCGAGCTTCCTTGCAGCTCTAGAAAAGTGCCGAAGGGTGAAGCAGCAATGCAGCTCCAGAGCAGTCACCTGCCCTGGGGGATGTGGAGCTCAGGCTCCAGCATGGCATTGAAAAGCTTAAGATTTCCTCCACCAGCTCATTAAAGCATGTGAGCTTCTGCATTATTTCAAAAGGTTTGTGTCAGGCATTGCCCCCTGAGCTGACAGCAGCTGGATCATCTTAGATGCCAGTGGGGAGAAACACCCAACGCAGGGAGGCGCTGGGTCCTATTATCTCTTCTCTAGACAGACTGATTTTTAATTTTGGTGCCGGGGTCTCCTGCCCCAGGACCCCTGCTCTGCTGTGACATTTGAAGCAGTGCCCACCCTCCCTGATGCTCTGTGTGCTGCCAAGATACATCATGGCCCTGCTAAGCTCCACACTGGGTGAACAACGCTGAAGGAGAGCAGATAGGTTTCCCCAGGTGATGCCTTCTCCCAGACGTGTGCAGATAACCCCAGCATGAGGCATCGGGGTTACGTGAGACACCTTTTAGTTGTATCAGCTGCAGTGGGATGAATTTTATGTCAAAGTGAGTTTGCACAATTGGAAACGTAAATTTGTTGGGTTTTTAAGAATATCAGCTGAAAGTACCACTATTAAATGAGGTGTGAAAGAACTGACTTTTCCACCAGAGGATGCTTGCCTGCCCTGTTTCTCTTTCCCATGAAGGAAAAAGCTGACCCACCCACAAAGTCCTCAGTGTCCATAGACACTGTTGAGAAGTTGGGTAGAGTGAATGCCAAGCTTCCCTGCTTGCTCAGAGCTGTGTCCTGGCCCTTGGTGCTCCCCTGCCCACCAGAAGGGATGGCTCAGCAGAGGAGTCTCCAGAGCCAGTGGCTAGTACCTGTATCGCACTGCACCACTGCTGACTGCAGCTGGGAGTCTCACATCCAGAACAAGTGTTTTATGGTTGAAACTTTGGAGATTTCATGCTTACTCTCTTCTTTTGTGTGATTTTTCTTCCAAGACCCAGTAGTGGTCTTCACCTCTGCTGAGTACCTTGAGGTACGTGTGAGGCTGGAGGCTGGCTGTGCGTTTTCAAGCCTCAGTTAGGTTGAGGATTTCCCAGTAAGAGGGGGGAAAGGGGTTAATCTCTTTTCCAGTTATACTTGGGTGTGATGGTCTGCAGGAGCTTCAGCTGCTACAGCTCTGGAATTCCAGCCCTGAGTGAATTCATCCTTCTCTTTATCTGGTGAATATGTTCATACACCACCCACCTTGGTTTTACCACCTGCCAGCTCTGAAGCAGAGTTCATTGGCTTGCACCATAGACTCAAACTTCATGGATTAATTCTTCCAAGTGTCACGACTCTTATAAACATAGAGATTTGCCAGGGCAGAGCTTTGATGCAGGGTGCTCTAACCATCAGCTGTTTGCAGTTCATCAGGTGGCAGAGCGTGTGGAGGCGCTGGGCCAGTTTGTGATGAAGACCAGGAGGACCCTGAAGGGCCACGGAAATAAAGTTCTCTGTATGGACTGGTGCAAAGACAAGAGAAGAATTGTGAGCTCTTCCCAGGTACGCTGTTGGGCAGATGTTTTTCCAAGCTACTGCTGGGCGCTGTACAAATCTGGCTGTGCTGTGTGCCACTCTTTGCAGACGATACCTGTGTATGGTGTAAATATTTTCAGGATGCCCTTAAAGCAGTTCATTAGCAGTGTATTTTTTCAGAGAGCATAAATCCAAGCTTCTGATCATCACTGCACCTGTTGTAGCTAATACCCAAAATATTTCTTGTCCGGTCATATACAGGTTTTCCCCATATTCCCTGCTACAATAAAAAATAGAGAGAACCTACCTGAGGCCACTTTGATTTCCTTGTTCTTTACAGATAAAATATTTAGTAATGATTTCAGTTCATGTGTGTAGAGAAAATAAAAAGGGAGGGGAAGAAATGTTGATTCTTCTAGAGATTCCTGTGCACAGAAATTTCTTCTGCAGTCTGTGTGATTGGTGTGACCTTGAAAGCCTCAAACATCCTGCCAAAATAACTGCATTTACTTGGCCGTTTTGAGAAACAGTCCTAGCACCTGCTCAAGACCGGTCTCATGAGCTGGAGGAGGTAATGAGATAATTACTTTCTAGATCCCCTGGTTCTTTCTGAGCCCTGTATGGCAGTGAGTGAGCTTGTTGCATCTCACAGCTGTTCATTGACCTATATGAAATCTGTCAGGGGTCTCACTTGCGGGATAAAAATAGGCAATCTGCATTGCAGGGCACCTTCAGTCACTCTGAGTTTTACCATTCATGGTGATCTCGGCAAAGAGAATAATTTTAAATAATTAATGTCACTTTTTTAATGTGGTTAAAATGTCAGTGTATAGATCAGGAAGCTGAACAGGCAAGTTGTAATGCATTTTTGCATTTTTTTACTCTATTTTAAGAACTGTGGTGAGTCCAGGTACAGCAACAATTGTTGCTCACAGTAATAAACATTTTGCTTTCATGGCATGGGGAGGGTAACAGTATTATGTACATAAGGCACAGTAGCTGGCATACACAAAGTGATTGTGTAGCTCTCTGTGGAGGGTTCTTACCATGGCTGTTCGGCAGATTGTATCAATGGGTAATTGAAAGTTAAGTAAGTGTAGAGAGAAGTAAAGGGAAAACCAGGAAAAGACAGGAAAGGGAGGATGAACGAACAGTGCGATGTCCATAAATAGTTCTGATGAGTGCTTCCAGCTCAGCAAGTGATGTGTAGTACAGGTCACCTCTTGTACTGGTGAGGCCCCGTACTGAGCCACTGACAGATACCAACTGGGAGAGTGGCTGGCTTGGGGGGTGCTGATCACAGGCTGGGAGAGACACATCGTGCCTGAAAGGAGGCAAGTGAGGGCTCACTAGAGGCCGTTTCCTCAGGAGATGGTCCTGTCCGTGCCATGTGCTGCAAGTGAGAGGCGTTCTCATAAACCTGCTAAAAGGAAAGGGGAAAAAAAATTTAAAATAAATCGGTCTTTTAAGCCAACATCAGTCGTCTCAGTGAGGAGCAGATACGCTTTTCTTCTGGTCAGAGACATAACTGGCGCTAGTGAGTGTCCCCTGGGTGCTTTGCAGTGACCATTGTGCTGTTATTAAAAAGGAGACAAAAATATCATGGCATAACAGACTGGGGGATGGAAAGGAACAGCAGTTTTCCCCAAACCTGGGAAGTCAGCTGACAGCCATGTCTCTGGAAGGCCTCAATTTTTCTCTGTGTGCTTTCATTTAGGATGGGAAGGTGATCGTGTGGGATTCCTTCACTACCAACAAGGTAAGTGAAACTTCAGCAAAAGTCAGATTTCTGTACAGAGGGTGGACCACAATGGGATAAGATGAAGGGCTGAAGGGCTTACAGGTGTCACAGGAGGCAGGGGGACGAGGGGGTAACATGCAAACCTCCACCAGCACCTCAGATCAGAGGGGCTCAGGGCAAACACCTCCCTTGACCTGTCTCTGAGCAAAGTCCCTGTCAGGTTTGTTGTGCTTTCCAGTGGGAGGCTCTGGGCTAGGCTCTTTGCTGGCAGGCAGGGCTCCTCCCTGGGTAACCCCTGCACCAGGTGCCATGTGTGATCACCCGGCATCCTTCAGCCGTGGTGTTCACTGCTCCTCCAGGTCCTGCCAGGGCTGCCTTGTGCACCCTGCTCCACACAGCTGAGAAAAAACAGCTTGTTTGTGACTCGCTTCTACGCGTGCAGCAGTGGGGACCTTTTACAGCATGAATAACCTAGCTAAAACATTCTCTGATCAGTTTGAGGCTCATGAGTAAGGTGGAAAGTGTCAGGGAGGGACTAGCCATCCTCCTGCCGCTCTGCTGGGTTCTGCAGTAAGGGTTGTCCCAGCCTTACATCTGACTAAGAATGTCCCACAGACATACTCAATATACAGCTTGACTCTGTTTTCCTTGCACCAATTAGAGAAACAATGACATGTGAGTTTACAGAAGTACTTACTGTGTTTCAGGAACACGCGGTGACGATGCCGTGTACCTGGGTGATGGCGTGTGCATACGCCCCATCTGGATGCGCCATTGCTTGTGGGTAAGTTCCCAGTTTCCACAGCTGCTTACACAGAGAAGCTTGATTTTGTAGTGGTGTCCCAGTGCCTTCAGACGCTGACAGCTAGAAGTTTGCGTGCCTCAGTTGTGGGTGAAAGGACCACATTTAGTGCCTCTGATTCTATTCCCATAACGGCTTGTACACGTTATCTCCACTGACTTCAGTGCAATAACATTTGTGTAAGCATGGAAAACAATCCTCTTTCAGCATTTGTATCATGAGTTAGGAATTCTGCATGCGTGCAGCTTCCCTGTTCCAGTTTGGTTGTGTGTGTTGGATATATTTTCTAAGGGAGAGGGGGTTTAATCCTGCTCTCACTTTGCACTCTTTTCTTCTACAGCATAGAGAAGGTTAGTCATTAACGACTACCAGTACATGAATAGATCTTGCCAAGATGGGGTGGGGAGAAGTAACCTCATTGTTGATAATCTTCTCCAAGTTTTTTGAGAGCTCAGGTTTGAAAAAAATTTAGTTTATGCAGGGGAGAAAACAAAGAGATGTTGACAAAACATCTTTTAAAAAGGGACTGGGTGGATCAAACAGACAAAGCAAGCTTGGGACAAGAGAAAGGAACAAAGGGAGACTTTGCTGAGCAGCTTGCAAATCTAGAAAGCAACAGACTGAGACAGACAGGCAGACTCCATAAATGTGTGTGCAGAGGATGTCTGGAAACTGTGTTTTTGACTAAAACTCGAAGAATGGCAAGAAAACATTGTCTTCACACTTGTAAGAGAGACAGGGAGGGCGTATATGCATTGCACTACCTAATTCTGTATTTCTGTTTGTGCTGCCAGTTGAGTGCTGTCTGTGCATGTAATCTAAGGCACAGAACCAGCACCTGGTGGTATGCTGGGATCCCAGGGACCAGAGCAGGGCTGAGCTACTCTAGAAAAGGGTCAGAGACAAGTCAGACCTTTTAGAAAAGAGTCCCACATCTGGCCTGGGAGATGGAGCTTAACTGGTGCAACTGCCCAGGAGGGACACGCCAGCTACAGAGGTTGCCTTTTCTCCAAACTCTGCTAAAAACCCCTTCTTCACACCCACTACTTGCTATACCATCTCTTCCATAGGAAGAGGTCCAATCTATTCAAGTAGATAAATAATGGTGCTTGAATGCTGATCCTTGCAATGACAGATGCCGACAGAAAAGTGGCAGTTTGGCTCTATGCGAAACATTAACCCCGAGGGGACTGCTATGTCATCTCCCAGTTTATGCTTTCGTGAGGTTTCATTCAGTGCCATTTATAAACTCGATGAGGGTAAAAAATACTGAGGGGCAGCTGTTGAAGTTCTCTAAAGTAGCCAGCCTGGTGAGGCAGCTGGGGCTTCCCTGCGCGGGGAGATCCCGGACAGCACAATACAGGGAAGTCGGTACTTGTAAGGCTTTGGCAGCGCAGCACTGACAGGTGGTTTCCTTCTTATCACCACTCGCCTTTTGTCGTTGCAGTTTTAACCAGTTCTCCTCTCTCTGTTATTGCTATTATTGCTCTCTTTAGTGGCCTGGACAACAAGTGTTCTGTGTACCCTCTGACATTTGACAAAAATGAAAATATGGCTGCAAAGAAGAAATCAGTTGCAATGCACACAAACTACTTGTCTGCCTGCAGCTTCACTAACTCAGACATGCAGGTAAATGCATTCCCTACCCGCTGCTCGCCCTCCGGCAGCACCGAAGAGGGGCTGCACTCGTAGGTGGTGCAAGTGCCCTTGCACTCGGGGCGCCCAGGTGCTGCAGAAGCTGCTCTAAGGAAATGTTTGTCACAGCCAGGCTGCCATGCCTGTCGCTTCTGCAGAGGGAGCTCGCTGCTACCTGTGCGTTCTCCGCTCGCTGGGGCCCTGCTGGCTTGTGCTTTTAGGAGCTCAAACTAATCCAAGTAGTTAAAAACCCAGCTCGGCTAGGACTGGGTTGGATAAGTGCTGTGCCAGCTGATGGAGAATGTGTTGTTTGTCTGCTTTATCCTGGACGTCGAGCCAACTCTGCATCTCCTTTCAGTATTTTTAGTTTGTACCAAGTAAGATATTCAAGCTTGAGGATGGCCCCACGGGCCAGCCCTGCTGTCTGTACACGCAGTGGCGTGTTCCCTCGAAGGAAAGGAGTGATGCTCTCCCCACTGTGCAGCTGGGGGGTTGGAGCATAGAGGCCCACAGTGGGAGATGATGGCAAAGCCAGGAACCCAGTGCAGATCTGACACCAGGCCAGCCTTCCTCTGTAGTGAAGATCTCAAAGATCTCTTTCACCAGGAACACAAAAGATGATGAAAAGAGCCAGGATAATCCCCTTGTCCTCTCTGTTTTTTGAGTTTCATTGAAGCTCTGCTCAGCATTCCTCTCTGCGTCAGCAGAGCTGCTGGAAATAGTATAACTTGTCCCCTTATTCCAGATATTTAGAGCTCTTCTGAAGGAAATATCAGCTCTCATTCCTTCTATTTCCGGACATGAGATGCCCGAGAGTATGTTGTTGTGTGTCGTTCTATGGTTTCTATAATGACTCCGAGGTGCTAATTTAAGTCCATTGCCATGGAAACAAGTGGTGGAGGTACCCAGCGCTCAGGCTTGTTTAGCCCTGACCTTACTGTGCAGGAGCCCTGCGGAATTAGAGCAGCCTGTAAATTAAATGGAATGTTTTTGATGAGATAGAAAACCAGTATTCTCTTTTCTTGTTCGTACCTATATGTGTTGCGATTAAATCTTCTGAAAGGAATAATAGTTATTTATTTTTTATAATAGAAAAAGAAAAGTTGGGTCTTTTTTTTCTCAGTATTAAATACAGCAAACTGCATTGATATTGAAGGTAGTGTATTGCTGTTGTTAAATAATACCACAGTGGGTTTAGGTGCTTTATATTCTGTGATTCAGAGATTTTTCTGAAGACTTTAAAAAGAAATTTTCTTGTGATTGGTAGGCTTATAAGTGATCATTTATAGCACTGCATGTTACAAGCAAGTGCATTAGTCAAGCTTCTGCTGGTCCCCTGTTATGTAGGGAATCCTAGAGAATCCCAGATTCCTTTTTTTGTTTGTTTGTTTTACCTAATGGCCTCAGAATTAAAATTATTCAGTACCTCTGCAGGTACCTACAGGCAACAAGCACCCTGTGCAGGAGCTTTCCCAGCGGTGTGGGGAGCAGCTCTGCTCTCCTGGCTCGTGTCGCTGAGGGCTGTGGGACCTGTCCTGGCGCAGCCCTAGTGCATGGCAGGGGTGTCCCCAGCCCAGTGCCCCCACTGCTGGGTGCTGTCAGTGCTCTGCCTCGGCTGCTCGGTCGGAGTTTAGGAGTCGGTGTGCAGGGGGAAGAGGAGTGGTGGTGGTTCATCATTGATTAAAGCCCCTGTCAGGCTGTGTGGGTGCTGAAGGAGAGGGTCCCAGCCTTGCTCCTCATCATGGTCCCATCTGGGCCGAGACAAGTGCTGAGCTGCAGGGCTGGGGGCTGTGCACCCCTCATTCTTGGTGCCCCAAATCAGCCTTTCCAGAAAGAGCCTCCCCTACCTCAGGATGCAGAGAGCCAGGGAGCCTCGCTGCCTGAATTAGGAATCTGCAGCTCTGCCGTGTGATAATGCTCCCCACGTGGCAATGCTCCAGGGGTATTAATAGCCCCAGTTAATTGGGGTCTCGGGTGTTTTGGCACAGGGCAGGCAGCCGTGCTCCCGGTGCGGTGGGGCTGAGAAGCAGGACGAGGCCCGTGGCGGTGGCCGGGGAGGCAGGGGTGAGGGTGGTCCCTCTGCCCGCTGCTCCCAGCCCCGGTGCGTGTGCTCCTGGCGAGCAGGGGCTGCGTGTCCCTCTTGTCCCCTGCCCCGTGCAAGTGCTGCCTCTTGCCGCCAGGCGCCAGGCGAGGATCCCCATCCAGCGCTGCCAGAGCCCCTCGCGCAGCAAGACGGACTCTAATTGTTAATTCCCTTCTGGGTTTGGATTTTTGGGGGGGTGTTTGGTTTGGTTTTCAGTAGCAATACTCTGAAGTTGAGTCTGTAACATTTAAGCATTAGCTGCAGCTCTGGGTTTCCAACAGACCCTTCCCTTCCACCTTTAGCTCCTCCTATTCCCCTCATATCTTTTTTACACACTATTACAAGAGCAAATCCTCAGAGCTGAAAGTCTTCATTCCTCAGCCGAGTACAAATATTCCTCAGAACAGAGAATTCACTGATGTAGGCTCAAAATCTGGCCAGCAAGACAAGTCAGGACTTTCTTCTGCTATTATCATCTCAGAGTATTAGTGTCTGGATTCGGAACAGTCTGTTCTGCAGCTTTGCAGACCTCTGTTTATGGGAGGAGTTTTTGAAGCATCTGTCAAACATATTCAGTGTTTAACCTTTATGCAACTCCGTGAATGGTTTCATGATTGTGTGATCGTTTTCTTCTTGAAGAGTATTTTCTTTATAACTTCTAACTACCCACTGGGATCCCTTGAGTTTCTTCACTGACCGTGAGAAAAACCTGTGTACAAGACGGAGAGCCCTCCTAAGTTCATCCTTGCCTCCTTCCACGCCAGTGCACAGGGCCCATTTCAACCTACAGAATTTGTGATTGCATAACAGCTTCGGGTGCCAAGGGGAAATTTTGAACAATTGAGCATCATCAGGATTTAGCCACAATAACAAGCGCTGATCACATGTGATTTCTACAAGCACTGTAGCAGATGAGGGAAGCTGTGAGCTGTGTTCAGCCCAGTGTATGTTTAAGCCCTTTCACACACAAATGGTTTTGGACAAGCGAGAGGCGATGGACTTATCAAACAACTGTCTAGACAGGCTTACTTCCCTTTCAGAAAATCCATGCCTTAAGCCCAATTAATTGGGTTTAACCTGGCTATTTCAAGCAGAAAAAAAAAAATATTTTTTTTGGAGTGTTAAACAGGTATACTTAACTCCAACAGTTCTTTTTACCCAGGTTGAATTCCAGCAGCCTGAATAGGCATAGGGTTAAATACAGAGGCAGACAGGAATACCATTCTGGTTCTGCCTCCTTCTTGGAGGATATGGAAATGCCAGCAGATCCTTATGGCCATCAGTTCTCCAAACCCCACTGCACAAAAGTGACCACTGCTGAAACACTGTATAGGTACAGCTGTGTCAGTGCAGCTCTCCTTTCCACTCTTAACTTCTTCCCTTAGGAATAAAAACCATAAACTGTGCTTAGGTTCAGATTGTCTTTATGGCTTTGATTTATTGCATAATATCTAATTAAATTAAAACTGTCCTTGGTGTATGTATAGGATGTCAGTTGTTTCTTTGTGAACTTGAAGATCATCTGCTGATTTTTGTATTGTGACTCTTCTTGCCATGTCCTATAGATCCTGACAGCAAGTGGAGATGGAACTTGTGCTCTGTGGGATGTTGAGAGTGGGCAGCTTCTACAGAGTTTCCATGGTCATGGAGCTGATGTCCTGTGCCTGGACCTAGCCCCTTCTGAAACGGGAAATACATTTGTCTCTGGGGTAAGCAGGAGCTTCTTGTCATAATATAAAATTGAGGAACAAGGAAGGGAAAAGGCAGCAAAGCAAGAGGCTCATGATCTTATGGAGAGAGTGCTGGAGTATGTGTTGGAAGCCCCAGTACAATCCACTCATTGCAAGCACATTTTCCAAGCTGGAGCAAATTAAACCCCTGACTGTGGGGTCAAACCCACCCAGCCAGTCTGACTGCAGTTCTGCTTACTTAGCAAATTCCACCCCACACCAAAGCAACCCATCCAGAGATCAAAACAACGCCTCTCCCGGGAAGGGAAAGGCTCGGAGCAGCGGGCTGGTACGGCAGAGGAGGTGTGAGCCCCTGTGGAGAGGAGCCCAGCAGAGCAGACAACTTCCCACATTTGGCTGTTTCTCGTGCCCGGCTCTCTGGAGCCAGACAGGGTGTGCCAGGCCACTGCTCAGGGCATCGAAGTGGGGCTGCAAATAATGTGCGTGCCACTGTGTCCCTCAACTGCTCCCCAGAAACCAGGGGGTAGCTTGGACGCTGGCTAAACTCTCGTACAAGTTGGAGCAGGGAGATGAGGTGTGGCCACATCTTCAGCTGTTGCCGAGTCCCCTGTGCCTTCCAGTGGTACCAGAGGCATGTAAAGCCCCTTTGTCAGTGGAACACTGCCTGCTCCCTGTCCTAGCCCGGAGGAACACAGAAACCTCACTGGGGCTGCAGGACTGGTCTGAGAAAGCACCTAGGGCATCTTTCAAATCTTGGCCTGCTGTTGAGGAATCACTATCCTGGGCAGACGAGCCATTGGCATGCAGCCGGGCAGTGAGGCAGGCAAGACGTAAAGGTGAGTGGGATGGGGCTCAGCAGCTTTTTGAGATGGTCCTGGTCTTTCCCGCATCAGAAACTTAGTGTGCAGGTGAGAGCTGGCAGGGGCTGAGAGCTAGCTGACCTCTCACTGGAGACAGATCATGACCAGTAACTTTGCTGGAGGTACCTGGTTTCTGAGCCCCACCAGCGCTGACCCAAGGCTGCTCCTGTGCTTGCTGGTGGAAGTGGCCCTTGTGTCAGAGGGTGCTGACCATGGATTATGGGATTCCACTTGTGCTCGGAGTCATGGTCCCATCCCCACACAATAAACCTGGGCCTCCTCTGTTACGGCTCTTCTATCAAATTTGGCTGGCCCATGAGGAGCAGAGCCCGGCACGCTGGCCCGGTTTGCCTGCTGCTAGCACAGCTGCTCCGAGCGTGACTGAAAGCTAATTCCGAGTGCATTACTCCTCCCGGGCTTTCCTGTCACTGAGCTTGCTTCCCAGAAAGGATAGATTCATTCTCCCTGGGAACAGCTCAGCTTATTATAGGGCAAAGAATCGCAAGCAGCTATGGTACTGTTAAGAGGATATGTCATACTTGTGTTAATGTAGCAGCTTGGGCATGTCTGTGCTTACAGGGACTTGCTTACTTCATCACATGCAAAATACCACTTCAGTGAAGATCTCTCTTGTATCATGTCAATGCAGGTGTAGCCAAAACAGTGCAACCTGAAGGTCTGGTGGCACAGAGAGACTCCCTGTGTATTGTGCCTGTGTCATACAGTAACCTTGAGCTGCAATAAGCAGTGCCAATACATCAGCAGGTAGTCTGGGTCCTGTTACATTTAACGACTTAACTAAAAATCCCAGCCCTGCTGGGTAATCTCAGGGCTGTGTCCTGGGCTGTTGAGCTCAGTGCCCTCCGAGCGCTGCTCCTCGGGGCAAGTTGGGTGCCACTCTGGGGGCCCATCTCTGCAGGTGGTTGCTGGTTTCTCCTTCAAAACCTTGGGAGTCAAAACACCAGCTTGTCAGATGAGTTTTGGCCCCCAAACTACCAGAGAGGTCAGTAAGAACAGTGCATGTGGAAGGAATACAAAGGGCTGAGCTTGGGCTCTGGCGGGGCTTGAGAGGGAAATATGCTGAGTCCAAAAGGTTTTCTATCCTGTTTGGTTTCCCCTGCACAGAAACCACAAGGAACATTGCCTCTTTTAAATAACAAGAGAATTGCTACAAAGGAACATTGCCTCTTTTAAATAACAAGATAATTTAAAAAAAAAAAAAAAGAGAGAAGAGAGTTGTGACGAAACTGTTTAATTTCATTAGCAATCATATTTGTTTAAAAATAAATAACGTGTGTCATGGTCTGCTGGGCAGGATGCTCTAGCCCAGCAGAAACAGCAGCTGCCTGCCCTGCCCTGTGCTTCCCACCCAGCCTCAGAGAGGCTGAGCCCCCTGGAGCTGAGCCTACCTACAGCCTGCCCCTCAGCGGGGTCGTATTTATTAAAATCTCTCATTAGTCTTAAAAGAAAAGTCTGTCTCCTTTTTCCTGTCACTGCAGTTGTGACAGCAGCAAGACATCGCAGCTGAGAGCGTGGCCCTGCGGGTGTGAGGTGGTTCCCACCCCAAGGACATTGCAAACTCTGTGGGCTGAGCCCCTTGCCCAAAGCATTCAGGGTGCTGAGCACCTCGCAGCAAGCACGGAGTGTTAAATGATCCTTTCAAAGCACAGCTTGGAAGGGCAGGTTAGAGCTTGACAGTGAGATGAAATGCTGTTACGCTTCTTTTTCTCATCCCAACCACGCCGCTGAGCATGTGGGAGCAGAGCCACGGCAGGGGTTAACTCTGGGAGGGGACCATCCGGATGCACTTACTTCATTTTCTGTTTCAGTATATGAAAAGAATTAGTTATAAAACTTTAAATGCCGGGTATTAATTTTTTATCTTGGGCACGTTAAGTGGTAAGGGAATGAGTCAGTTCTGCAGCTCTGCAGCGCAGTGGGACTGCAGCCGCAGGTACAGCAGCAGCGCAGGCGGAGCAGGGCTGGGCCTGTGGTTGGGATGTGTGTGCTGCTTGGGATGGGACTGCCCGAGCCAGCACCCCAGGCCCTCTGCACCCCTCTGTGCCATACAGCCTCCAGCTCCTCCCTGCAACTGCACCAGGCTCGGGGGTACCGACCCAGTTCTGGGGCTGCTTTGCTGGTTAAATCCCCTCAGAGCTGTGATGTCCAGAGCCTTTGAATGTAGCTGGGCTTGGTGACATTGTCTCAGGCACTTGAGGAGTGAATGTCACCATTTGCACAGCTGTGGTGAATTTTTTTTCGTCTTATTAGGGCTGTGACAAGAAAGCCATGGTTTGGGATATGCGGTCTGGTCAGTGCATCCAGTCATTTGAAACCCACGATTCAGATATCAACAGTGTCAGGTCAGTATGTTTCTGGGAGAGGACACATTTGCAATGTCGGGCAATGCACTGGTTCTATTTTTGAAGTCTGACCTCATCCAAGTCGTGTAATGTGTTCTGGTCTTTTTTTACTCATGCACAGATATTACCCAAGTGGAGATGCTTTTGCCTCTGGTTCAGACGATGCCACGGTACGTTAATTCAGCAACCTCATTTAGGGAAGTTCTGTTACTTCCTAAGTCAGATTTTCCTGAAAGACTAGGTCACATCCACAGAGGACCTTTAAGTGACTAAATTGGGCCTGTGACACCAAAGTTGCAGAAATAATAATGCTAAATATAATACATATTAAATACTATATATAATGCTACAGGGAAAGCTGGTAACACTTTAGAGGTCACTTCTGCAAACTTTTCTACATTACTGCCTGGATATTCATTTCAGATTTTCAGTGTTTTGAAGTTTCATGACCAAAATGACTTGTCTTACTGGAAGAGATTTGGCTTGATGTAGTTGTTGGTCACAACATGGGAGGAACCAGACGAGACGTGTCAGAAGGAGCAGCAAGGGCAGGAAGGGAGCCTGCCCACGAGGGCGAGGGGCCGTGGGCTGGGCCTGGAGCTGGGCAGATGCTGTCAGCTGGCCCCAGGTCGGAGCATCCTGCACACGCAGCCCCCGGGGGTGTCGGCCAGGGCCGTCTCCTCCTCGCTGTCAGCCTGACTCACCGCCAGCGCTTTTCACTGCAGTGAGTCACCACCACAGCCAGGTCATCCTGGATGATATAAGAACTCTTCCTGGATCTTATCTCTGAGCAAGCAGCTAGGAAGGTACGCACAGCATGCATTGGCAGGTAATTCTGGTCAGTGCATCGTATGAAAAATGCCACTTAACCTCCCGGTGCCTTTGGGCCCCCGAGTGATGCACGCAGCTGGTTGGTCTCGGTGCAGCTGGTGGATCCCCGGGGGGGATCCAGGCTCTGCCTGTACCCCAGCCCTGCAGGGACTGAGCTGGCAGTTAAATATAAATATAACTCAAGAGCCAGATGTTTGGTAGGCACCTGGCACCTTGTTTATCCTATTTATTCAAACATCATACCAAATTGCATGAGGGTGAAGACTCTTTCCAAAGTACTTTGCCCAGAGCATGTTTAGAGTCTGCTCCAATACTAGCTAAGCTCGAGAGAAGCATTCCCTTTGTCTTCACTGGATGTGGAGACCTTCCAAGACTTCTGGAGAGAGCGTACTCTGCTTTTAGGTCTTAAAAGCTGCAATTATAAATTAATACCTCCAGCTCTATGGTGAGCCTAGTGGTTCTCTGCCCATTTGTGTGCAGTACTTTGAGCAGTTGAAATGCTGAGGGAGTGAGATGGAGAAATTGCCCGTCATTAAATACCAATGAGAGCACTCTTTATGCCCAGTACCACAGGCTCTGGGCTCCTGTGCTTATTAATTTACTTGATATTTTGTTTTCTCTCTCTTAACTATTCCTGACACCCCCAACTTGAGCAGGAGAATGGGAAATTCCATCTCTGTACTTTTGATGGAGGTTTTGGCAGTTTCCATCTCCTCCATTCTTTAAATGAAGAGGTTGGTGTTTTCAGCATTATGGCTTGATACACTGACTGGTATCCTTGACCCGATTTATATACTTAGGGATTTTGAGGAACAGATAATCCTGACTGTCTGGAGGGAAACCATAAAATCATGCTCACATGGCAGTGCTGTCACCTGCGGTGACCCCAACTCCCTATCAGGACACTGATGGAAATATTCATCAGTGTGGAGCACTGGGAGACCTGGACTTCACACACCTGGCAGCTCCCCACCTCCCTGTGAGCGAAGCAGCCTCTTCTTTATGCGCAGGCTTGAATACCAGCCATTTTTTCATTAGTAAATTCCTAATATTAGCAAACCCATCTGGCCAGTGTTTGCTTAAACCGAACTTATTGAGGAAGGGGTTTTAGTTCAAATAGTTTCAAAAGTGCATTTTGATTTCAGGGCTAACAGACGGCCTTTCTGCGTGGCAGCGAACTCTGGGCTGCGTACGTTGTTTTCACGTTAAACAAGCCCAAGTGTGCTGCTGGCAAATGGCACAAACAGGAAGTGCAGGTTGTAGAGGTGATTGGGGATTTTTCATGAGAAGTAAAAACAAAAGATCTGTATAAAAATATATTATTTCACTTGAATTATTTTCATGTGGGTTTTTTTCCAGACAGAGAGGCCTCATGGGAGGGCAGGGTCTGTTTGCTGTCTTAACCCAGAGCGAGGACCACCATCTAGGCTTCCCCGTGCCAAGGGGCTGTCTGAGCACTGTGCCACGTGGGCCATTTTCTCAAAGATGCCTAGAGATTTAATCCTCGTTTTCCCAGACTCCAGCTGTGGCTAAACCTTTGTCTTTTTAAAGACTGTGTCCCTGTGCACCTCCCCAGCAGCAGGATGCTCTAATATGTTGGAAACCACAGTGGGGAAGCAAGAGGGTGGGTGGGGAGACTTTCAGTGGGTAGCCATGGTCCAAAGCCCACCACTTCATAGCAGGACAGGCAGGAGGCTTAGAGAAGCAGCTTGGAAAAGCAAGTTCTTAACTCATTTTATACGAAAGAGCCTTGCTTAGATTCCTGTTAGACTCCAGAGGAGACCCAGTTACAGCAGGCAGAAATAGCGGAAGGAAAGAAGCTGCTTCCCGTGATGCCTGTTAGGCTGCAGTCCTTCCCACTCCCATTTTTTCAATGAAATTAGTAGCCATGGACTCCAGCCTTTACTGAGGCATGTGTGCTGGTTTTGTTTCAATCCTAGTGTCGTTTATATGACCTTCGTGCAGACAGAGAAGTAGCAATTTATTCCAAAGAGAGCATCATTTTTGGAGCATCCAGTGTGGACTTCTCTCTAAGCGGTGAGACCTGAACTTTGGAGGGTATCTTAGTGTTGGGATTTGAGGGGAAACTGTAAAATTTTGACAGTTTAATTTGATAAAGCATCAGTTATTAAAAGTTATAATAAGTACCAAAAGAAACTTAATGCATGAAAGCTTTTTTTTTTTTTTTTTTCCCCTCTAAAATTAATTACTCTTTAAGTAACCTAGCTGGCTTTTGCTGTAGCAACGAAAAGTATTTTCCTGGCCCTACTGAAGGCAGGAAATACTTTGCCATTAACTACAACTGGGTTAGAATTTCACAATAATGATTAAAAACATTTCAAAGGAAACATGAAATGTAACTAGACCATTAAGCACACTTACATAGTTTTTAAAAGGATAATAAACGATTAATAGACAGTAAAAGTATGTTAGAGGAGCGTGAAAACCGAGACATGACCATTTTTCACTCCGGATCTGGATACATGAGCTCGAGTCTTCTCTCCTGCCCCAACACAAATGCAGAGCTGCTTGTCACCCTGCCTGGGGATGAGCGGGTGGTGAAGTGCCCTCTGCCTGGGACAGGCAAATGTCTCAAGGACCTCGGCTTGTCCTGCTGGGGACAACGAATCACCAGATTGTCTGCTCATCATTCAGCCATTTGTATTCAACTTCTTGCTTAAAGCCTGAGCAAAATGTCATTACCCTGCATTAGCTGTTGAAGCGCTCTTCAGTCTGCCGTGATTTGGAGTCGTCTCCCATCTCTAATGACCGAACAGTTTCTACATAATTTAACTCAATTTTAAGTATATTTTTAACTCGTAAAGTTTAACTGGTTCAGCATTTAGCATGGCTGGCTCGGCAGTGGAGCAGGGGTGTCTGGCAGGAGCACGGCCAGCCTGGGGGAGGCAGTGGTCAGGGATGCAGACAGAGGGTGGCACAGGAAGGCGGGTTGTGTGTCCTCCCCTTGGGAAGTCAAGGTGTGTTAGCGACCTAAGACCTCCCTTTGTAAAATCTCATTCTCTTTGCAGGTCGCCTGCTGTTTGCAGGCTATAATGATTACACCATAAATGTCTGGGATGTACTGAAAGGGTCCCGTGTATCCATTCTGTTTGGACATGAAAATCGTGTCAGCACCTTGCGGGTCTCTCCCGATGGAACAGCATTCTGCTCGGGCTCCTGGGACCACACTCTCCGAGTAAGTGCTGGGAGAACCTACTTTGGATGCTTCTTTCTTCGTTTGTCTGATTGTTTAAAAAAAAAAAAGGGATGGGGAGGAAGGGTTGTAACAGGAAAATTGACTCTAAAGGGACTAACAAGGATGTAAAAACACAGCGTAAAACACGATCAGAAAATTCAAATTACAAAATCCCCACGAAGTGATAGCAGAACTGTTAAATTTTGAATTTATGGGTTAAATAGTCTCATTGCTGCTGGTACTCTGTACCGCTAAGCTGACTCCCTTGCCAAATTTTAATTAAACCTTTGATAGAATAGTCAATGTCATAAATGATTGTTCAACTCTCTCTGCAGATCTGGGCTTAAGCTGAGATCCTGTATGCAGAATCAAATGAAGACAAACCCTGGACTACAAAAACTGCATAAAAAAGCCACCCCTCAAAATCAAATATTCACTACACTACAGAAGAGTGACACTGAACCCACAGATTAACACAACTAGGTAGAAAATGTAAGCTGCTTGAACACATAGCAAACATCAACTTGTAGGATAATTTTAATTCTGTTTCGAAACTATCTTCTTTTATTAGAACTAGTTTAGATAATGATGAAGGGGCTTTTCTCTGAAGTCACTTGTATCATAGAATTGAGTAGCTCGGTGCACATTATGTATTTATTTGCATGAACTGCGTTCCTTTTTAAAGTAAAATAAGTAAAAAGGAAAAAAGATTCCTGATTTTATCAGGATGTAGCATAAGAGTTCGGAAACATTCCGTAGTAGTGCATTGAATTCTGGTGTTGAAAAGTGGAAAGAAAAACAATTCTGATACTTTATGATGGCATTATGGATGACTGAACCTTGTTAGTAAGTAGAGGAGCAAAGGACCTACTGTGAAGGTACCGGCTGTTGTCATAAAAATGTATTTTTTGTACAAAAAAAGGAATCCTTTCAATCCCTGTTTTTGCCTACTGTCTTTTTAGGTAGAAATAAGTATTTCATCTCTGTTAGCTGAATATAAAGAATCTAAATATATACAAACTGATAAACTGCAAAGAGGAGGGATATAAACATGATTTACATGATCATGAGGTAATACTTAACCAGTAGTTTCTTAGAAATTTTTAATTGTATCACTTGGTGAGTGAATTTTCTTTTACTTAAAGGAATACTACATGCTAAGCACTAAGAGATACTACACGCTAAGCACTGAGCACTGTTATATTGATGGTCAAATCTTTTCCAAGTCGGTCATAGTCATTCTGTGATCATGATTCTTATTTGTATTTTGAGCAGTTCATACCACTTTGGAGGGCAGTGTGGCTTAAACGTGTGTTAAGGCAGTACGTGCCCCTTGTAAGGTCCTTCTGCAGCATCAGAGCAGTACAAGGTCATGCAAATATGGGTCAAACCTTACAAGCCAAATTGTACAGTCCTCACTCTAACAGTATCTCCCACTGGGCGGAGAGAGTTTTGTCATAGTTGGACTTGAGAATGAACAAGAGTTGTTGAAAACCTGCCGTGAGCCGCAGTCCTGCCAGCGTTTGATACCACCAGAGCCCATCTGATGGAGGAGCTGCTGGGCTTCGGGGAGGCAGCACAGCAGCACCCGGCCCTCTGTGTGGGCATGGGAACACAACACAAGCTGGCAGGACTACCCCCATGTGGAGCTGATGCTGTAGAATTAAAATTTGATCAGCTAAAGCTGAGATAGAGTTTTATACAATTATAGAACTATTGGGACGTTATATCTGCATGTGGAGACTGGCGTGTGTCACCTCTGCTCATACGCACAGGTACTGAGCCTAACCTGAGCAGAGGCACACAGGGAGCAAAGTGCAGAAGTAATTAACGCTGGGGGCTTGCACAGTCTGGCCTTTGAAATGCAAGCAGTGAGATACATCTCTGAAAAGATCAAAGATATGTTTTATATTTAGATTGAAACGAGTCACGAGCTCACTGATCACTGGAGTTGGCTGTTCACATAAGTTTGATAATAATATCCTCGTTCTGTTGGCAAGTGTGATTTTTTTTTTTTTTTTACAATTCTATAAAGATTGTATTAGGAAAAAAGTCTCCTCATTCGCGAAGACATTAGGTTCCATGAATCCATAACCAGTTAGCCTAGGACACTGACATGTGTATCAGCCCTCGGTCCCTAATGAAATAGTTCAGCTGTTTTCACTTGGAAAAGTCAGCTCTGATGCCTCGCAATATTTGTGGCAAACTATCCCTGTAACAAACTGAATGCACTATGGAAATGTCATATAGAGCTCACTGTGCAATATTGAGTCAATACACTGTACATGTTTGATCAAAAGATTAATGTTTAGATAGTATTTATTGGTAAGATGTTTGTTTCAAACATACTACATTGTGTTGATACTTATGAATGGCCTAAATACAATAAATTGTATTTTACATACTGAGAACATCTATATAGGTGTTTTTCCCATCTGTTAGGTACTTGTAATGGTAGCTGGTTTTTCTGGTTTTTTGGCATTTACTTTTTGCACCATATTGTTTCTTAGATCATTTGTCCTGCAATAGTCTAGGGAAAAATCCAGATCTACCAGAAAATTGCTTCTGGAATATCTTCTGGAAATACCCAAGGTGATCTACAGCAGTTGAGGGCGAGCAGTCCTCGAAAGTACCTGAAAACTCCATCTGAGCTACTTCTGCGTTCAGTGGGCCGGAGCTGAGGTTGGGTATTCCTGCTCAGAAGGATCACTGCTAACATGATGTTTTCTTTCCAGATCCTCACCACCACACTCAGGAATGCACTGGAAAAATGCAGTGTGAGTGTGTTTGTGTGTTTTGTGGGAGCGCAGGATTCTCCTCGCATCGCAGGGGGGTGCCACTGAAAGCTGGCCACCGAAATGCTGTTGAGGGCTGGAGCTATCGCTGCTTGGCTAAACCGTATGTGCAGATCACCTTGAGATGCAGCAGTTGGGCTTTCTGCCTTGTCAGCAGAGGTGCTGGGTCAGCCGTCCTCTCCACTTTAGTGTGGGTTTTGTGGTCAGCATGAAGGCGATTGGTGGAAGTGCTCAGTTTAGACACTGAAAAAAGCACCTCCTTAATTTAGGCACGTAGTTTTGTTCCTTTTCCTGTGAGGGGCTGGGGAAAGTGCTGAGCCAGCTTGTTCTGAGTGACATCAGTGCCCAAACAATCACCAGTTCCAGTGAGGATGAGGCTGACATCGTGTCTTTGCACTTGTGTTCCTGCAAGGAGAAATCTCATGGTTCTTGCACTTCAGGGCCACTGCCTGTGGACTCTTAAGTTGGGCTGCATGGACTTGGCACCTGTGAAAATCACATTTTTGTTCTGAAGTAATGGTGAAAACCGTTGAACCAGGATGGGCCTTAACTTCCCGTTAGATAAATGAAGATAGAGGAACAGGGCACTGAAGTACCCATTGTACTTCTTACTGCTCAAGGTTGGCCAGGGGGGCTTTGGAAAACCCAGCGTTTTGAGACACCCCCCACTTTGCTCTGTCAAGCTGTTTGTGCATCAAAAACACCTATTCCTTCCCAGACAGAGAGGTTTTAACCCACGTCTTGTGCTTTCCCCCCAGCCTTGGAGAACAACCGTGCAGCTCTGGGTGCAGCAGTGGAGCAGCAGCATCAGATCCCAGAGCCCCAGCACTGGCCCTGCCTTCCTGAGCAACTCAGCCAAGCCAGGACTGAAGGAAAAGTGGTGCTGGAAAGGCCATGCGGGTAGGCTAGGCCCAGGTTAAACGTATGGAGAGCAAGGGAGCTATAGCTCGGGCAGAATCACTGTCAGACAGCTCCGTCCTGTTAAACAAAAATGCTATATAAACAGGAAGGGTGGAAAAGGATATTGCTAAGAGAAAGAGCAGCCTCTCCCTCTTGCTCTCCTGCTGTGAGAAATGCAATAGGAAATTCTTGCTCAAGGATTAACAATCGTAAGGAAAACTCCAGTTAAAAAAGGGTATGTGTAAAGCACTGCTGAAAAGTAAAGATATCATTCCAGCTACTGCTGTAGTACATAAACACAGACTAGATTTCTCCGCTTCAAAACAAAACAAAAGCCAAATATGGGGATGTAAAACTAAGAGTTTGCCTTAGGAATGACTTAAGAGGTCAGGCCAATTCTTGATACGATCTAAGAAGTTGCAATAGCATTTATTCCAACCATCTATTTTTAGGTTTTCTAACGGGGATGTAAGACACAGACGAAGCACTGTAACTCGGGGTAGGTGGGGTGCAGCCGAGCGGTCCCGTGCTGGCACGTGGGGCACCGTGAGCCCGTTGTGTGGCGAGAGGTAAGCATCATGGAATGGTTTGGGCTGGCAGGGACCTTAGAGATCATCCACTTCCAACCCTCTGCCCCGGGCAGGGCCACCTTCCACTAGCCCAGGTTGCCCAAAGCCCCGTCCAACCTGGCCCGGAACCCTGCCGGGGAGGGGGCAGCCACAGCCACGCTTTGCGCTGGGGGAGCCTGGCCGGGACGGAGCAGGAGGCAGCGGCTGATGTTCCTGGGCCGGGCCTGCCATGGACCCAGCGGTGGGACCGGGTGTCCTGGCGGCCCCTTAAGCAGCCGCCGGTAGTCTCAGCCTAAAGGGCAGTGCTGGGCTGCAGGGCAGGCCCCGGGGGGGCCGTGCCT